ATTGGCCGAACACCGCAAGCACTCGTCGGAAATGTAACGCCCCTTACCATAATCGCGAGCTTCATCTTTCAAAATAAATGTAAAGACAGAGCCCGAAAGGGGAACAGAGTCTCGTGACAGACACAGTGATGAAGCTGGTATGTGTTTGCAGTACACAAGCCACGGTTAAGACCGCTGACTCCACTGTGTGTGACCCTCTCTCTCTCTCTCTCTCTCTCTCTCTCTCTCTCACACGCACACACACGATGTGCAAAACTCTGCATTTGAACAGTCAATAGCAAATACTTAAACTAATAACAAAACAGTAGCTGATTCAGAAGCGCCAGATTGTCATAGCAAAGTCAGAATTACCTCCTCTCCTAGGTTCACGAAACGGTCATCCATAAAATGCATTGCTGTTCTGTTGTAAGTAATCTTAAAGACTCCTAAATGCATTTGGAAGACCAAATAAAGTGCTTTTGCTCAGCGCTGTCAGAATACATGCGATTCGTGCAGCATTCTGCAGTTTATTTACTATTCGTTTGAGGCCATTTCGCGATTTCAATCATCTTACAGTAGCCTAACCACCAGCATCAGCCACCTCATCTTCTCATCGGAGACGTGTGATGCAGCACTAAACAGTCTCTCGCTGTCGGTGCTTCGTGCTTGTAATGATTTTCTCTGATAGTTTTAAATACTTTCACACTGCCGACATGTTTGCTGCATTAGTGCATGCCTCTGTTTGATCGCGTTAGTCATTGTTCGGTACATATTATTCGGCATTTTCGCTTATTCGGTTGCCGAACATTCAGTGCATCCCTACTTTTGCCAAAAGTCTTTCGCTCTCACCAAAACCCTTTTTCGCCCCAAAGGCGTGTCAGCAAACCCCAATGTGCAAAGTGAAGCAACAGCTATTTCAATGAGAAACTATCATTATGAAATGTCACAGAGAATAATTGTACTGTTTTTCCCTGTAAATTATAGGATGACTTTGTGAAATGTCCCATTAGATCTATTATAGCAGTGGTGTCCAAACCTGTTCCTGGAAGGCCACTGTCCTGCAGACTTTAGCTCCAACCTGGTCGGCAGTCGTTTACAGGTTACATTGTAATGATTTTTTTTTTTTTTTTTACTGTGCAGTTATATAAAATGATATAAATTAAAATTAAAAGTAAATGAATCATTTGGTACAGTGCACTTATTGTGTGCAGGCATGTTTTTACATTGTACTTGCAGTTGAAGTCAAAAGTTTACATGCACCTTGCAGAATCTGCAAAGTGTTGTTATAAAACGGAGAGTTCCGGTGCTTGATTCTGATTGGCTGAGCCAAGTACGAAGCTGTGGTAAATTACTCTACAAACACACACCTTTGTTTACGTCTGTGTATTGTTCGGCAACCACAACTGATTCTGAGGAACAACATTGTTTGGTGGAAGAATACTGTTTTTATTAATATCATTACACTTTGTTTTCTCCATTTTATTCTGTGAAACCGTACTACTCCGCTTCGCACCGTGCCTAACACCGCCCCTTAGCTGTTATAAATTCACTGTAAACCACGGCTTCTTGGGGCGTATTGCTTTATTATTTTACTAAGATAAGAGAGATCATACAAAATGCATGTTATTGTTTATTTAGTACTGACCTGAATAAGATATTTCACATAAAATATGTTTACATATAGTCCACAAGAGAACATAATAGTTGAAATCATAAAAACGACCCTGTTCAAAAGTTTACACCCCCTTGATTCTTAACACTGTGTTGTTACCTGAATGATCCACAGCTGTGTTTTGTTGTTTAGTGATAGTTGGTCATAATAGTTGTAGTAATATCTTTATTTGTCCCTTCACAGGGCAATTTATGCAGCATCAGCCTCACAAACAGACAGATCTTATAAGACATCATGACATAAACAGATCAAATAAAAACATCACAGCAAATACAACCACGACAAAACCCGGGCATTAACAGTGCACCATTTCTTCATATATTAAAGTATGATGTTGAAGTTCACACCTTTATCTTTGTTTCAAATAATTTCTGTAATTACATTTATAGCTACACTGTTGACCAATCCCTTACAGTTTAACCCACCCTTAAACCATACCACCAAACCTGTCCCTAACCTCACCCGTATCCCACCACAACAGCAGCAAAATTGTTCTGCAATACAATATGAACACAATAACTACATTGTACTTATTTTTTGATGTAAGTACATAGTAGTTACATCCACCTAATATAAAGTGAGACCAAAAAAAGAGCACATATTGCTGGTCACTGAGCATACATAACACTGATACTTGTCACTAAAATATAATTTATTTGTTGAAATCTGGAAGCCGTAAAAGAAATATCTTTAAAAAAAAATGCACATAGCAGTCATAGCAGATAACATTTTTATCAAGGTAAAATCTACATGCATTTCATATAGTGTAAAACATAGTGTAAAACATGTTCAAGTGTAGATTCATTAAATGATAAGTTAATTCCTCCCAAAAGCTTTTATTCAGCATAGTGCAGTTGGGTCATTCTACAGAAACGTCCACTTTTGGGATGGCAAGATGTCTTAAAATTGATTTCTTTTTTTAACATTTAACCTTAGACCACATTATTCGATTGCCTTTTGACTTTATGAATACACATAAATGACAGCTTAATGATTTTTTTATAGTTTTTGTATATTTATTTAAAGACCGCATGTACCCTTTTTTTGTCACTGGTTGTTACCTTACTTCTTTGGCAATTTTAAAGGTTTTTATGAAATATTATTTCTCTTTTTTTTCAGCACATGTAGTCAGAGTTACATAAAAATAATGATAATGCAACAAATAAGGAGATTATGTTTTATTTATTTTAATCAGGTTTGTTAAAAGTGTGACTGAATGATGTTAGTTCATTTGCACAAACATGTATTTGCTATAACAATGAAAATATTACAAAAACAGTTATAAACAAGTAATGATACAATCCTTTAAATCTTAACTCTTGAGTGTAGCAGAATTCAATAGATGTAAAATTATTTTCATGTCACATGTGACACATTTTATAGAATGTGTAACACACAGTAACACCAGTGACACAATGTAACACCAGTGACATACATAAGACCAAACACCCTTATTCTTCAGCTAATATTAACTAAATTGTCACATTTGGCATACATTTGCCAACTAGTGAAAACAGTTAGTAAAACATAATTTTAAAACATTTGAACTAAAACAACTCAAATGTACAACAAAGTACAGTACATTGTCTAAACTGCAATTTTCTGCTGCTATTTTATGTCATACCACACTGAACAAAATTATAAGCGCAACACTTTTGTTTTTGCCCCCATTTTTCATGAGCTGAACTCAAAGATCTAAGACTTTTTCTATGTACATAAAAGGCCTATTTCTCTCAAATATTGTTCTTCCATTGACATCCATTAAAAAAAATGGCCTCTTGTCTCCTTCCCTGTGTTTAATACGCATTGGACTCGGTGTGCAAGGTTTCTGTGCGTGACAAATTTTTAGGATGACGAATACGAAAAAACGCATACGAAGATTTCGGACTCGGTGTGCAAGGACCTTAAAGGGATAGTTCACCCAAAAATTCAAATGTGATGTTTATCTGCTTACCCCCAGGGCATCCAAGATGTAGGTGACTTTGTTTCTTCAGTAGAACACATTTGATGATTTGTAACTTTAACTGTTGCAGTCTATCAGTCGTATAATGCATGGCAATGGTAACAAAATCTATGAGAGTAAAAAAAACATGCACAGACAAATCCAAATTAAACCCTGCGGCTCGTGACGACACATTGATGTCCTCAGACACGAAACGATCGGTTTGTGCCAGAAACCGAACAGTGTTTATATCATTTTTTTATCTCTAATACACCACTATGTCCAACTGTCTTTGGGCGCACGTGAGGTGTGTACGCGCTCTGGCGTAGTTTACGTTAATGGGTGTGTTGATAATCTTTTAGTTTTAAGTCGGTTTGAACAATCCGGATAAGCGCAAGTAAGTACCATTTTGATTAGCCGTCGTACCTACAATGACTGTGAACTGTGCAAACAATGAGTGACGTATACCCGCGAGAGATCACTTCCGGCGCTTGCGTAAACTACGCCAGAGCTCGTACACACCTCACGCACCGGATGCCGTGCGCGCGCTCAAAGACAGTTGGACATAGTGCTGTATTAGAGGTAAAAAATGATATAAATACTGTTCGGTTTCAGGCACATTTTTCATTTTTGGGTGAACTATCCCTTTAAGTGATATGTGTCAGGATTGTAACAGGTTGTGTGTTCTCATCAGCGTAACAGCATTGAGCCGGGCAAGAGGCCGGCCTCGTTCTTGACGCCGATCGCGGTGAGGCCGTCCATCGGTCTGTGTGGCACATACGTCGCACTGGGCTCCTCTAACGGCGAGCGGGCGCTGAGCGGCATCACGCAGGTACAGTCAAATCACACATCTGCAGTCAAAATCACATCTGCAGGCAAGATTACACATCTGCAGTCAAAAGTGGATGTTCACCAGCACATTTCATTCTGCTACTAGCATCAGTGTATATTAACTCATACTCTGATGTGTTTTTGCAGGTTTTGATCAATGTTTTGTCATCACGTAATAACATGAGTGACAGCGTGTCCTACGGCAGACTGCATCCTCTCATCCAAAACAACACCCTGCTGGTGGACTGTAAGTTCTCCATCATGTACTGTAGCTTCCTCTGGGGTTCATTTAAAAGTTTTCTCTAATATAGTGTATAGTGTATACTGTCATTTTTATTTTAATAATGCCCAAATGTGTATTGACTTTTTTTTATATGTATCTGAAAGAAGTCTCTTCTGCTCACCAATGCTGCATTTATTTGGTCATAAATACAGTAAAAACAGCAATATTGTGAAATATTCTTACAATTTAAAGTAACTGTTTTCTATGTGGATATATATTAAAATGTAATTTATTTCTATGATCAAAGCTGAATTTTCAGCATCATTACTCCAGTCTTCAGTGTCCAGTGTCACATGATCTTCAGAAATCATTCTAATATGCTGATTTGCTGCTCAAGAAACATTTCTGATTATTAATATTAATGTTGAAACCTGGTGTGCTGTGATGCAAACTAATGCAAAAAACCCCATAAAACATTTGCAATAGATCTTTTGTCTTTACTGACCATCTTTATTGTTTTTACTGTCTTTTTTAATCAATTTAACGCGTCCTTTCTGAATAAAAGTATTAATAAAAAATAAAAAAACGTAGTAACTTCAAACCTTTGAACGCTAATGTATATGCTAAAAAAACATTTAGAGACAAGTAAATACATAGTTTAGACACTTTCTAGGAAAGCCAATTATTTTTTTAATTAATACACAGTTTGTGATGTCATCAATCTCGAACATTTAACCCTGTCAGCAAAGTAATTCTAATAAAAAATATCAGAAATATATAATTTAATACAGTATGTAGGAATTAATCAATAACTACAAATCAGCATTTTTTTTTTTGCATTGTATTGGTTTCATTTTCATGCTTGAAAACAGGGTATTAAATTGTATTTACACATGCTTTATGTTGGTAACATCGCTGCAAACCCCATAACAATACAGAATAAAGCCAATGCTAATACAATGTTGAATTCAATGTTGAGGTCAACATGCAAAATTCAGTGAATGTTAAGTGCAATTTCTTTAAAAAAAAACTGCATTCCTAGGGTTTAAAGCCCTGTTTTATATTCTTTATGTATAAAGTGTTATATGTGAATCTTTAAATGTCCATTCAGAGCAAAACCCCTGCAGCACTCATTTGTTCACATGACTGCAGATGTGTGTTTTGACAGTAGATGTGTGATTTTGTAGACGGGGTGATTTTGACTGTAGATGTGTGATTTTGACTGCAGATGTGTGATTTTGTAGACTGTGTGATTTTTTTGACTGCAGATGTGTGATTTTGACTTAAGATGTGTGATTTTGTAGACTGTGATTTTCACTGAATATGTGTGATTTTTGACTGCAGATGTGTGATTTTGTAGACTGTGATTTTGTAGACTGTGATTTTTAACTGCAGATGTGTGATTTTGTAGACTGTGTGATTTTGTAGACTGTGATTTTTGACTGCAGATGTGGGATTTTGACTTAAGATGTGGGATTTTGTAGACTGTGATTTTGACTGAATATATGTTATTTTTGACTGCAGATGTGTGATTTTTTTTTTTACTGCTAATGTGTGATTTTGTAGACTGTGATTTTTAACTGCAGATGTGTGATTTTGACTTAAGATGTGTGATTTTGTAGACTGTGATTTAGACTGAATATATGTGATTTTTGACTGCAGATGTGTGATTTTTTTTTGACTGCAGATGTGTGATTTTGACTTAAGATGTGGGATTTTGTAGACTGTGATTTTGACTGAATATATGTGATTTTTGACTGCAGATGTGTGATTTTTTTTGACTGCAGATTTGTGATTTTGTAGACTGTGATTTTTAAATGCAGATGTGTGATTTTGACTAAAATGTGTGATTTTTGACTGCAGATGTGTGATTTTGTAGACTGTGATTTTTGACTGCAGATGTGTGATTTTGTAGACTGTGTGATTTTGACTGCAGATGTGTGATTTTAACTTAAGATGGGTGATTTTGTAGACTGTGATTTTTGACTGCAGA